CAACTTCCGGCATTTTGATGCATGACTGGATCTCTCACGTTCCGGTTGCGTCTTGTTGGTGGAAGCCCACACCGTAGTATCTGGTAGAACTCCAAAACCCTTGACCTTGGCCTGGTTGATCTTGGCGATGATGCTATCACGCGCGCCCTGATCCCCGAAAAAGTTTCCCCCGCACGAGGTTCCAAGTTGGCAATGGCGAAGCCCCTCCGAATCCCTGGACAGAAAGGATCAGCATCGAAAAGAGACTCCAACTCCAGGGACCTGATGACCTCCAAAGCTCTCCAAGTCGGAGATACGAGCAGCGAGCTCCGCTTGCGCCCTCTTCACGTCATCGATCTTCCCGTCCTGCTGAGAGACCTGGTGCGACATTGTCGCCACCTCTTGACGGATATCCTGGATATGCTTCAAGGCGGTGGCCTCCAGCTTCTTGACGGCCTTGTCAATGTCGCTCGCCGTCTGGTTTGTCAACTCCTGTGTCTGAGCTTCCAAGAGCTGGCGTAAGGACCCCGCCGGGATCACTGTCCCGTCCCTCTCTCTTCGTGCCACGAGTACTGGGCCCACCAACCTCCATGGTGCCGAGGATCGCTTAATCGGAGACAGACGATGTCCTCTCTCACCTTTCCGGGGATTGGATCTCGGCCCCCTTGCGCAAAAGGTCCTCAGCAAGCTCGTAGTTCTGGCCGCCGCCCCGCGCACACAGCCGCCCCAGACGTTTCAGGTTTCGGGTTTAGGGATTAGGGATTAGGGGTTTAGGGTTTGGGGGTTTAGGGTTTGGGGGTTTAGGGTTCAGGGTTTAGGGTTTAGGGGTTTAGGGTACCAGCAGCGACGCATCCTGGGCCCCCTTCATCCGACCCCACGCTTCAAGTTGTTTGCCCGTCTCGTTGAGAGTGAACCGAAGGGGGGAGGTGGACATTGAGGATTCCGACGTTTCCCGACTGTGTGCGCACACTGTGGCATGGCTTCTCCTATATGTTTTTGGCTGCCTGCGCCTCGACCCTGCGGCTGAACGGGGCGAGAGTGCGAACAGCTGCGTCCATTCCCGTCCATGACGCGATAGAGATTGACGCGGACATCTCAAACCAGACCACGCTGGGAGGGAACGAGGCCTCGCCCGCCAAACGGCTGCAAGGTGGGTCTCGTTGTTGCAGAAAGATTCTGGCTGATTCAAAACGCTGATGGCCGTGTCTGGTGGTTTTGCTTGGATGGTCTGCCCACCGATGGCTAGCTTGCTGGGTGTGTTGTCTGTGTGGCTTTCTATGAATTGGGTTTTCTCTGGTTGGATGTGCATGCCGTTGGTTTCCAGTCTCTGCTCCACGTCTTTCGTCATGCTTTGCAGGCGCGGGAGGCTGGTTGCCCAAAGGTATGTGTCGTCCATGAACTGGTTATTCGCGCGGTGGCGCAGGCTGTCCCTGGACTGTCGGTGCTGTTGCCTGGGATCCGAAGGCGTTGTCTAGGATCTGGCCCGCTTTGAGGGAGAAAAGTGTTGGGGAGTCCGGACTGCCTTGTCTGACTCCATTTGTCTGTCTGAAGTGGATGGGGTGTTGAGCTGCTGGTGCTGCTGGGATGATGCTGAGTTGTTGCCCATGTATGATTTCCATCCACATTCTTGCTTCCCACGGGTGTGTGTCTTGGAGTTTGGTTGCCACCATGGCCGCCACCGAGGTCTGTTTGATGGTGTCGAAAGCTTTGCGAATGTTTATTTTCAGGATGCACAGCTTGAACCCCCAAGCTCGGGCCATGCGTGCCATGCGCCGTAGGGCGGTGAGAAGCTCGCTTGCTTGCTTGCCCGTTCTGGCATATTGGTGTATGGGGGGTTCTGCCCTCTCTCTCTTCTTCTTCTTCTCACTGCTATACCCCCCTCTCTCTTCTTCTTCTTCTACAGGCTCTACCTACCCCCATGGGTAGGTCAGGGCACTGCCCTGAGCCCAGCGGTCCGCGACGTCCGGTCGGTACAAGCGAATACACAGACTTTGCAATTAATGCCTTTTGAATTGGAGGTTCCTAACCTCTCTCTTCTTCTTCTTCGGGCTAAGCTGGTCCCTCACGGACCAGCCGGCGCACTGCGCCGAGCCCAGGCACTGTCCCAGCTTTCAGGTCGGGACCAGCAGGTACTCCGAACAGGCATTCAGGCAGCATCGCGAGCCCTCCAGCATAATTCATAACAACTGCTCAATTGCCTGTTCTTTTCCACGTCTGGCCGTGAGACTCAAGCGTGCGACAAGGAGCCCCTCTGCCCTCCAACTCAGCAACATAATGAAACCGACAGAGAACATATACTCCAAGCTCCCTCAGCACGTACGCAGACCGAAGGACCATGGCTTGCCACCTCAAGCCTCTTGCAGGAAATGACCTGGAGGATCCGCTTCTTCCCTGTTAACTGCGAAACAGCAGCATAACTGTGCGCCCCCCCCGTAGGGCATTGAACTTTTACCTTTTCTTTTTACGAGGGATCGCCCTTGGCTGCTGGTTTTTGCCCTTCTGGCGTCTGCATAACAGTACGGGAAGTTGCGGTCCTTTTAGTGCGGCTGGTTTACTCTTTCAGAAAAGCGTATCTACCCCTACCCTGGCAAGACATCGAGACGGCTATGCCTAACTGAACACAACTGTCCGGCATCCCCAGCCTCACTGGCACCTTGCGGCCTCTTGCTTAGGCCCTCGTCCCTGGTGCAAAAGCGATCAAACGTCGAATTTACAGGCATCAGACAGTGCTTACACAGCCCCGACCAAGGACCCTGGTAAAACATGTCAACGCAATCTCCCAAAATCTCCCTGAGGACACATACTCCACGTTATGTCCGAGCCCCTGGGAAAAAGCCCTCTTTGCAGGAAGGCAGGCAGCATCATGTGTTGAAAAACCACATCCTAACAGAGAGAATCAAAAAACTAGCTCTCAAACCCCAAACTATCCAAGTGCTGCTCTGCCTCAAAAGCGCGGCTCAGCTGGATTCACTGTCACTCAGTTCAACTTCCTCTCGTGAGTCCAAGGAAGTCTCGGTAGGTCTCGTTTGCATCACTTAGCTTGCACCAAATTTGCGCGCGCAGCGCCCGAAATAGTCGCGCTGGGTCTCGGTGTAGGATCTTCCTTGCATCAAATTTGCGCACGCGGCGCCCAGAATGGTCACAGCATGTAGCAGTT